CGCACTTTCTGGCCCTGTACTACGCTGTCGTGGCACTCGGAGCCATCAATAGCAGCGTCGAGCAGGCTACATGTCTCCCACGATTCTACCGGGTGCGTAACGGCGAGGACGTCCCGGCGCCACCTACAAAACGGTCTACCCTGGAGTGGGCCAGTCACTACTTTGGACAAGCGAAGCAGGCTTTGGGTGACACTATGGACATCTCCTCCCTAGAAACATGTCAGACGCTGTTTTTGATGGTCTGTTGCCTATGTCCCTGTCAAGGCAGCCAACACAAGATTCGCTAATCTCGCAGATGATAACAGACGGTTTTCTGCCAAAATGCGCTCAAACCTCATGCGTGCTACATGTACAGTGGCCATGCTGTGCGCACCGCTATTGCAATCGGGCTGGCAAATAATGCTCGGAAGACATGTACAGAAGAAGGGAAACGCACATGGTGGTAGGTCTTGTTTTTCGGGACAGTGCTTATTTTTGGCACATTGTGAAATTTTGCTAAATGGAGCCGGACTTCAGGTGTATTTATTCACATGAAATGTAATGCCAACGGGCAAATACTTCGATGTATGACCGTGGTACTGATGTGTCCGCACAGAGAGATGTGTTGCTCGTCCGGACGACTAGACTCCCTCATGCCACCAGAGATGTATTCTTTGCCGATGCCCAAATGGACGGTGAGTAATTCTCCGGTAAATAATTCAGGTTGTACAAAAGCTATCTGAGCTGATGTCGAACTAGTTGGAGGACAACGAGAGCCATGAGACCGCGATCATTCCGGTCATGGTAGATCTCTCACGCATCCTCAAAAGAGTCTCTATGGATGTTTATTGCAACGCGAATGGTCGTTCAACAGGCGAGCTATCGCAGCTTAGCCTGGAATTGAATGAGGCCCTCGCAGCATGGAAAGCAAATCTGCCTGCATTTCTGAATCTCGACGTCCAGTTGCTCAACGATCCCCCTTGGGCTTACAAGCAGAAGCTGGTTTTGAAGATGCGTGAGTGCCCCCTTTTCTGCAGATCGTGCGCGAGAGCAGTTGTAGATATTAATCAAGATCTGTCCGCAGGTTTCTTCTATACCCACATCCTAATCAATCGACCGTTTCTAGTCGCCTCACATCCTAGTCACCTCGGATTGGCCTTCCCACAACACATAGACATCTGCCTAGATGCGGCACGAAAAATGATCCAGTTGATCCACAATGCGTTCATCAATCGAATGTATTTACGCACTTGGTACGTCGTTCAGGGACCTATCCAGGTCGTATCTGGCTGATTGTAATCCCAGGTGGTATTGTACAACGTATACTCTGTACGCGAGCATGATCGTCCTGTATCTCATTTTGGTGGATTGTTATCCCACTACCGTCAGTGTTGACGAGCTCATCGGCGACGTTGAAAAGAGTCTAGAAATCTTCGATGCTATGAAACAGGTGGTGGTTGCGCAGAGGTGTGCTGAATTGACAAAAGAAATGCTCACAGTGGTCAAGAAACACCAGCAGGAAAAGCCCCAACAGCGGCAGAGCAATCCTACTGGTGAGCAAAACCTGACCCCACCGACACTACACGTAGCACCCAACGCTTCACTCGGCGATACAAATGATCTTTGGAACGATAATTATCTGGCAACTATTCTGAACCATTCTCTGCCCGGCTGGGTAAGTCAGACAGAGGCCCTTGCTCATCTGTACGATCCGAGCGTCCTGGAGGACTTTGCTCTCTCAGGAGGTGACAATATTAGCTCAATTGACAATGCGATGACTGCTTTTCCTGCAGAGTCGTCGGACGACATCGAGCAAACTGGTCCCACCTGGGGTATCTTCGAACCCTTTGAGAAGGGCGCGGGAGTGGCAGGGAATGAGGCAGTTGGCTGGATTTAGCTCATCAAATTGGTTGGAAAGGTCTTACATGCCGATTCTCAAAAGCAAACGATAGGAGCTTTGTGGGGGCCTGGATAGAGCCTCCATTTTCATATGGCTACACTCTCAAAGTGAAGGGATCGAAAGGGTATCAATTGTTGCGATCTTCGTGTCTGGCCGTCATGATCAGCGATCCTGGTATCGCAGACACTTTGTTAGACGTGGAACACATCGGAACCGCTGAGCTGGTCCTCATCTCCTCGCCTCCATCGTTCAGCTCTTCTACTAAGGTCTCAAAAAGCAATGACCCATTCCCAATTCCACCGAAGTGGAGTGATGATTCTAATCCGTTCTTCGGAACATTGCACGAAACACCCGCAACGGATAAAACACCTGCATCGGATAAAGTATTCAAGCTAAACCCTTCGTCAAGCGCGAAATATGGGGCCTGGGCGTCCAGCACCAACTAACCCATAATAGTAGTCGAAACACAATGGCCTAGGCTACAGTTTATCTATCTCTACGTGACAGGGGGTTAGCTTTGATATGGTACTGTGGGAGACTGGGTGGGTCTTCCGTCGGATAACCACACTTGTCGCGGGCCTGTGGTCCTACCCCGGAATCCCCCCAAGAAACCCCCTAACACTATAGAATCCCCAGTCTCCTGATCTCACATATATCTAATGCTGTGCAGGAAAAGTTTTTCGTTTTTAAGAAATTTCCTGCTCTTCCCCATCTGATCTGGTGAACCGTTTCGGTGCGTCCCCATACAAAAGTATCCTGACACGCCTTTGCCACTCAAAACTCCCTTTTTTAAACAAAAAGTTCGCTATGTCGCAGCAAGAGGCTGATATTGATGCGATCGAGGTGCATTACAGCGCAGCACCAGGCACCGAGATTCTCTACGATGTTGCAGAGGATGGAACTGGATCTAGTAAACTACACCGTCTCCAGCACGTCAAATCTAAATCTGGAGATGGTCATCTTCTCCTGGTACCACAGCCGTCTCTAACGGACCCGAATGATCCTTTGCGCTGGTCGACTATGAAAAAATGGACTACATTTCTCAACGCCCTTGGTTTTTCTTTCATGGGCAGTGTGACTGGCCCTATCATGACAGGCTGTTAGATGAGTCCTATCACATTGGCGGGACTGTTTATGACTGATGCGGATCAGGGATGGTAGAAGCAGCTGCGTTCTACAACACCTCTATCCAGAGAATGTCCTATACTGTTGGCGCAACCCTGATATGTCAAGGCTGTGCAACGGCTCTGTGGATGTAAGGATCCATTCCCACGAACACAACATTTTTCTGATTACTAACTGCTGTGTCAAGGCCATTTGCCGTTAAATTCGGCCGTCGACCTGTCTACTTGTTCTCCAATCTGTTAATGGGTGTCGCCTGCATATGGTTGGCCAGCGCCAGCAAGACAACTTACACTTCATTCCTCGTCGGTCGAGCTTTCTTAGGTGTGTTCGAGGCTCCTATGGAATCAATCGTCCCAAGTACCGTCACCGATATGTTCTTTCTACATGATCGAGGAGCTAAAGTCTCTTACTATGGACTTTCCGTCCTTGGGGGAAATGAACTTGGACCGATGCTTTCCGCACTGATCATCCAAAGCCTTGGAATGGCCTGGGCCTTCTATATTGTGGCAATCTTCATCTTTGCAAATTCTGTTACACAATTCTTCTTTATGCCAGAAACAATGTACCTTGGCCCTCGCCCCTCGCTGGAGCTGCATGAAGACAAACCTGATGAAAAGGGACGCGCGTCGGCCCATATCGAAATTACTGATGCCGACGGTGCTCAAGTGCCGAAGAAGACATTTCTCCAGGAATTGTCATTTTGGGGTATCAACGATCATTCGGTGTCACTATGGCAAGCTTTTGCGAGACCGTTTGTTCTACTCGCATACCCGACGGTTGTGTGGTCCTGCTGTTGTTACGGGATGGCACTAAGTTGGAACGTCATACTGGCAACCACGAACGGACAGCTATTTTCACCACCGTACGTCTCGATCCTAATCCCTAATATTTTAACTGAATCTCTAATGCTTATGACAGGCCTTACTCATTTAATGCAGCTGCACAGGGTCTTGTCTTTGGCGCACCGCTGATTGGTTCCCTCGTCGGCACCTACCTTTGCGGTCCCGTCGCCGATAGTATTGCCAATTACTTCACTCGCCGCAACCATGGTATCAGAGAGCCGGAAATGCGTCTTCCCACATGTATTATTGCCGCTATGTTGACCTTTATCGGCGCTCTCATTTCAGCATTGTGCTTCCACTACAAGACTCGCTGGATTGGCCCTGTCATGGGCTACGGTATTCTAAGCGCCGGTAGCCAGATGGGCTCTACCCTTGCCATGAGCTACGCACTGGATTGCCATAAGGAACTAAGCGTCGAGCTTATGGTGACTATAGCCTCCTTAAAGAGTGCGGTGGCCTGGATCTGGACCTGGGTCGTCAATGACTGGCTGAACAGAAACGGTCCATTGGTTGTTCTTTTGGTGGTCATGGCTATCAACATCGCGGTATATGCGTCATCGTTCTTGTTGTACCGCTATGGGAAAAGCATCCGGATGTGGCTTCACCACAAAAATTTCTTGGGGGCCTGTGGACTTGCCTGAAACCAAATGCACGCGCAATCATCCATCAGCGAGGCCTCTGCAGGTAAAACTTCTGAATCGTGCTGCACCTGGGACATTAATACAGAGGGGTTTATCGTCCAGACAGATGTTTGTTGGCAGCATGAAATGCCTCTGCCACTAAGCCTTCAGCGAGTCTTAAAGCTAGACCAAGGATATCCGCATCTTCTGGAAGTAGTTGACAATGGAAAAAAATATGGCCTGCTAAGGGGTGCAATTTTACCCAAAAAAAAACCTCTTCTTTCGGACAGACTGAAATCTCTCCTGACGTGTGCAAGTTCCTTCAAGGGCAAAAAGGAAGTTTTCGTAAAAGGCGCCATTCGCTGCGCGTGACAGCTAATAACATCGTCGTCGTTCACTACATCTACAGAACCTATCATGCAGTTATAGTATCACAAATATCAGTCCGATGCGTAGAAAGGGACTCCGGACGATTGTAACGACTGTGAAAGCCATTTAACTATTAAAGAACCATACAAGCTGGGATTTCTCAATCTATTCAACCAGAATAAGGGCCAGCCCCAACTCTTTACGGCATTCCTCCAAGCTCTCTGCTTGCATCTTCTCGTATAGGCTAGTAGGTTCTTGAATTTTGGCTCCCAGACTTTCTTCAAGCAGATGGCGATTGCCTTGGGAGTTCTGAATTTCCTTGTTGGAGAAGCCCCTGAGATTGGAAGTGAAGATGCCTGCTGCCGAGATAGGCAGAAAGTCCTCGTAAACAATGGGTTCGTACTCCACAATACCTTCCTCCAACAGATCAGACAGTTTCTGCATGTCTTTAGCCTCTGTTGTGGATGGCCTTTTTCCTGTCAACCGATATACGAAGAACACGAGTCCTTGCTTATGAAGCTCCGGCCAAGTGTCCGGATACTCGGCAAAAATGTCACGAAGAATATGCTGATATTCTTCTTCATCGGCCTTCTTCTGTTTGGCGATGGCGTTGGTCTTGGCCAACAATGAGTCGTAGAGCCTGCGGCCTTTGTCTGTAACTGCCGCCCCCCGCTGCTCGACTTCACCGAACCGTGCAGTGTGGTAGCCGTGCCTAGCGTAACCGCCACTATCAATGAACCATACTTGCTCTTCGAGTGCTTTGAAACTCGTCTGCCTCAGCAGGACGCCGCAGTTCCGCCGCGGCGGTCCCTCAATTCTCTCTTTGGCAGGCATATCTCTTCGTATCATAATCTCTTGGACCATGTCGATATCCAGAGTCCGGGGGGTCAGGTGGTTGATATGCGCGCTCGGGAAGCTGACAATGTCTGCGATCATGGGATGTACCGCATTCATCTCCGTATATGTTTCGTGCGAAACGGTGGCGGTTGAGTGCCATCGAAAAACTTTCATGGCCTCCATGAGCAGCTCGTCCTCGTCGTCTACCAATAGGCCGTGAAACTCGGCTTTCTTGAGCAGTTCCAGAAGTCGATCTGAAAATATGTTCCGTCTAGAAAGTGTCTTCTCTACCAAAATCTGGGTACTTTGTGGGAGTAAATCTAGTCTCAGGAGGCTAGTGAAGACCCGAAAAGGGTTGTTGGCCAACGCAGAGCTTGTTAGCGGGCGGAAGGCCGTCGCGTGCAATGGGAATCCGACGACACTGAGGTCGTAATACCCAACTGGATGCATGTTGAAAAGAGCAAAAAGTCTGGCTATTGTTCTGAGTTCTTGGGCAGTCCCCAATCGAATCGCCCCGTGTCTTTCGATGCCGTGCCTGGAAGGTAGCTTTTCCCTGGACACCTGCCAGCGTAAGCATATTTGTCGGACTTCTACCTATCATTGGTCTATATACCTTGTCATCTACCTCTCCAACAATGGAGAGCAGGTCCGCGTAAAGAGGGACCTCTTTCTTGTACATGTCCGACATTGCTTGTGAAAATCTGGTCCGAAGTTGGTCTGCATCTCGTACCAGTTGGTGTACACTCATGGGCTCCATTCTGCTTTTCGTAGTTTCCCTTGGGTGGTAGTAGTTGGAGAAGACCAGTTCTTATCAGAGACTCCATGGGACGACATGCTCTCTAGAACATGATACCCCTTAAGTCTCGGAATGCAAGCCATACTGCATTGCGCGAGTGAGATTCGAAGCAAGGCCAACCTGACGACCAGTTGAGGCAAGTATGCCGCTCGTACACAGTTGATGTCAAGCCCCTGCACAGAGCAAGGATATGTCCGTCGGATACGGAATAAAGATCGTTCCAAAGCCGTCGGGCAAGGCCGCCCAGTATGACCCCTTTCTCGGCCCCAGCCATCCGTACACCCTTAGTGAAAAAACTTTGCGTCATGATTGATCGAGGATTTCTGTTAACAGGAGAAGTGTAGAGCCGAGATTATGTTCATCTTACCCAGTGGATGCAGGGTATCATGCTACATGAACATTGCTGGAGGCCGTTTACAAATGCTTGCAATATTACAAAGTTCACCTCTTTTGGTTTTCGCGTTCCGCATTTGCATATTGAGATTCTATCTCTCTCTGTTTAGTGGCTGACATATTCAACTTATCATAAGTTCCTCTAATATTGCTGGATAAAAAGCTCTTTGCGCCAAAAAAAATAGTAACAAGTGCGGGCGTGAGATGGAATGCTGAGAATATTTTGGGCTTCAGTTCAATTTTATCGGAACGAATCAATTGAATATCGATAATGCAGCTTCCCCGCAGACAGCCTAACTCGAGTTTTCATAGCACGCATGATATTCTTCCAAAAGTCTCTGTTGTTCAGTCGTGCAATTTTGGGGAGGGGGGATCCTCCTTCTCCGTGAGAACAAAGTCAAACTCCAGCAACCAGAACCCCTCTCGTTCCTTTTCGTCGATTTCCTTCTTGAAAGTCTTCAGCCTATATTGCCGGGCCAATTCTGGGTCTTCTGTAAAGGTGTAATCCACCATCAAACTAGACTTAACGCCAAAGACAGTGTCACTCTCGATATATTTGCTGTCTCTCGAATACAAAGCCGTAATGAGGGTGTTATAATCTGGATGCGAAATCATGAAATGCTAGCCAGAGGTCAATGCCAACAACTATGATAACACAGGAGATTTGTCATTGAGCATACCATATGAGCAGGTCGATACCAGTGTCGATTTAATGTGCGTAGCAATTCGCCCACGGGACCATCGTTGGAGATCGGATATGGAATCGGCCTCACACAGGTGAAAGCATATCTGCCCTTGTCGTCCGTGTACAGCTTGCCACGGCAATCCGGGCCTTCCTTTTCCGCATATTCTAGGTCATAGACCCCGTGGCCGTCAGTCGCCCAGGCGTCGAGAAGGGCCTTTTTCACAGGCACTCCACTGACAGAGCGGACTTGGCCTCTCACAAGAGTAGCTTCACCAAAGGTATCCTCCTTTACAATGGCTGAGCCATTTTCGACAACTTGTCCAACCTCGTCGTGGAAGGGTCCCAGAATCGACGACTCCGTGGCGCCCGGTTTATGCGGATACGAAATCGCGTCAACGAGAGCTGATATACCCAGAATATCGGAAAGAAGCACCATCTCGTGTCGCACATCGTCGGAAATTTGTCCCACCTAGATTCATGAAGTGTAAGCATAGCCTATAGACGCAAGTGATCTTAGGAAATCAGAAAAATGGAAGCTTTACCTTCGTCAAGAATTGCCAGGCCATGGTCCATTCGTCGAATTTGAGGTCGACGTCCCTGATGAAGTCATGGGAGACTTGGATAAGCTTCGTGATAATATACTGCAACCTAGGGTTGTCTTTGATGTCCGAGTTCACGGCAATGACGTTGGGCGTGATGTTCTCAATGGTGAGATCCCGGACTGGCGATGGAACATGTTCGGTGACTGGTTCCGCTTCCCACTTTCTACGCGTCTTCGCGCTCAGGCTGGCACGACTAGGGCCTGAGGCGTCGTTAGTGGGTTGTTCTTCTGTTGCATAGGAGGTCATGGTGGTCTTCAAAATGACCTGATATGGAAGTATAATGGAATAAGAATGAAAGTTGGTGTCATTACTCAAGCTCGAAAACACATCCTTCCATGTCACTCCAGATTCTATATAAACATTTGATGAGACGGAGCTGGCATCATCTCTGCTGGGTCAGGCACATTCTCCTTAGCTTCCTTCAAAGTCTGCTTTGCCATTGTTGAAGCGGACAAACGCTGAGCTTCAATGCGGGCAAAATGAGGAGTGGAAGACCCGTTAACATTTCCTGTAAAGGCACATTCTATTGGCAATCATGATCCGCCTCGTTCGAATGCATTATATCCGACGGAAGTTGCGTTTAGCATCGGATGATGCTCTTGAGTGCAGGGTTGTACTTCCGATGAACCCGAAGGACTTTTCCACTGGGTCGTGATCTTGAGCTGTGCAGCGCGTTTAAGGGGTTTGACGAGCGAGCTGGTCAAGATTGCGATGACGCTAGTCTCGCTAGAATCATTGACTTTTGGAGGAATCTGTACAATGGCTGGAAGGTCCGGTGGTGTGATCTATCTTGAAAATAAGATTCTCGGGTCACTTCAAAAGCTGTTTCTCATACGCAAATGGCCGGCTTGACTAGGACTACATCGACTAGGTTGGCAAAATATGTCTCCCTCGACTACCATGAAAGCTGTCCGTTTTCATTCGACTGGGGACTCCAGTGTTCTTCAACTTGAGAACAACGTTCCTATTCCACAGATTGCGGACAATGAAGTCCTGATTAACGTGGAATATGCTGGAGTCAACTTCGTCGATACCTACCAGCGTAGCGGGCTGTATCCTATCAAGCTACCCGCCGTGGCGGGTCGAGAGGGAGCAGGAACGATTGCTGAAGTTGGTCGAGAGGTGCCTTTATCGTTTCGCCTTGAGCCAGGAGATCGAGTGGCAGTCTTTGCACAAGGCACGTTGGCACAGTACGTTGCTGCCTCCGCAGAATCGGTCTTGAAATTACCTTCTTCTGTGTCCACGCGCGTTGGGGCAGCAGTAATGCTCCAGGGGCTTACAGCGTGGACGATTGTACGAGACGCCCATGACGTCCAAAAGGGTCAAGTGATACTGGTCCAAGCAGCCGCCGGCGGCACTGGAGGGCTTATTGTACAAATGTGCAAACATTTGGGAGCCACCGTGATAGGAACGGTGTCAAATGCGCAGAAGGCAGAGGTGGCCAAACAGCACGGCTGCGACCATGTCATCATATACAAAGAACGAGATGTTTTGACGGAAGTTTTACGGCTTACCGACGGCAAGGGTTGTCACGCCGTGCTGAGCGGTATTGGTCAGTCCACCTTTGCGACCGACCTTGCTTCTACCCGAAGAAAGGGCACTCTTGTTTCTTATGGGAACAGCAGCGGACCAGTGGTCAGTTTCAAGATCCTAGAGCTCAGCAAGAAGAATATCAAACTGGTCCGCCCAACATTGGCGAACTATATCCAGGAAAGGGAAGAGTTTGTCGAAAGGACAAAGGAACTGCTCGATCTGCTGAGCAGGAGCATTATCTCAGTGCCTATAGAAAAGGAGTACATGATCGACCAGGTTGGGCACGCTCAGGATGAGTTGACAGGGCAAAAGACAACTGGCAAATTAGTAGTAAAGGTAGCTTCGTGAAGCAAATGCCTTGGCTCGACCAGATGTTTGACTTAATGCTTGCGGTCATAATTTAACAACACGAGTGAGAAGCGGGAGATACCGAGTAGCAATCACCATTGTAGATCGAGGGTGTTTGAAACACCCCAGCATCGAGTCCATCATGCCTAATCTCATGTCCAACTGTCAGGGTTGGTGGGTTCGCGGAAATTCCGTGGCTGTCACCTCCTGGAGCGGTTGTGAACGGCATGTCCGATTAATATGATTGGCCCTTGCTATTCCGACGGATATGTACCCAGTACACCAATCACTGGAGCCTTCCAGTTGACCCCCGAGGCCCCCAGCCCCCACAGATTTAGGGGACTCTTGGAGGATTTCGATTTCTTCTTCGGCTCGAGCTGCCTTGGATTCGCTTCCATCAGAAAACCGGCGAGTCAGATTGCTACTTTATGACTGACGGTGGCAAGACTATCATCATAATCGGAATTTGTGAGATCCAGGCGATTCTGATGATGGTGCGAGCACAAAGTCCGGCTCGGTGTCTCTGGCGATGCGCTTCCCGTTCTGTGTCACCTTTCGTTTTGCTGTGTAGCGGATATAGCGAGGCTGACCTTCGTCATAGGTCTTGTCCCGATCCCATTCAGAGAGTTGAAGGACTTACCAAGTAGTTTGCAGGATGCGATGCTCATTCTTGTCCATTAGTCACTTGTTGTGGTGGTGTTGCAATTCTACCCTCGCAGTTCAAAGCTGCGAAATAGTGTCGGCTGGTCTTCAGGTAGTTTAGACGGTGGTGCATTTGCTCCTGGACTGCGCCGTGGAAGGGGTTGTTCCACCGCAAACGGCGATCTAAGGCCTTGGCGTGTAGGGCTCAAGCATGTGGATGGCCGAGGTCTGTCCGGTGGGTCGGTAATCGAGGTAGACGGCTAGGATCTAGCGTGACAAACAAAAGTGTTATGAAGGGTAAAGCACACTCGCCGGCCGTAACAAACCAAGGCCAAGAGACAGAAAGCTCAAGACCACATATGAAGCGGTCCAGCTGGTGTAACAGAGCACTTCAGGGTTCGGCGTGCACGTGCAACAACGCACAGAGGCCTGTCCAGCAGATCGGGAATCGAGAACGCGTTTCTGGTTGACACTGACAGGACAACACCACCACCAACACCACCCCAGAGAGGTAGCGTCTAGGGCAGCGAGCGCCTAGCACGGTGACGGCATTGAGAAGGAGGAAAGCGCTGATGAAAGCCTCAAGAATAGGTATTAGGTTTGACATGTGACCTGACAGACCTCTGCCCTGCCAGTTCACCACCCACCCAGCACTGCACAGCCACCTTGCCTTGTTACAATACTATGAAGATTTTAGCTACTACAGCCGAGATATGGCTCCAGATCTTTTATTAGGCCATGGTCGGTCGATCGTCCTGGCCCGGGGCAGCGTTTTTCTTTGCCGCTTTGAGCGCTCTACCGATTTCGGCTTCAGTGATAGGAGATCTCTTCCTTCACGACAGTCTCCTCTTCGGAGGTTGGGTCGGTCATCCTGGGGAAGAGGCACTCCACCAAGATCCGGGCTTTATCTTTATTATCGGGGAACTCTGTTTCGCTGATCTTTAAGAATCACTCCGGGCAGTTGTCTTTACATTGTCATTGATGCCTTCAATGAGTGCGAGGAGAGGTCACGATCATTGCTTCTAGCCAAGTCTCTCCACATACTACGGCCTCGGAGCCTGGCTGACGGGATGTGGCGAAAGAGAATCAAGCTCATCATAAGCGGGCAGCCGCTCATCCGTCGATTTCTCGAAACACACTCTCACCTCTGTTGGGGAACCAACCTGATTAGGATGGCCTCCCCAGGAAAGGTGGTAGGCTTTTGATTGAAGATGAAAGGCATCTCGTAGCGTGTCAGCGACTCGATCCGCGAGCAGGATATCCACAGAATCAATCACTTGAGGATTGTAAAATCACAGTTCCTCGAAACAACCGCTACCGCACAGGTGCAGTGCGAGCGCATACCTCCTCGTGTGGAACAGGTACCGCGCCAGATCGATCCGCCAGGTGTGGTTCTCCAACGGAGCGGCCTCGGGCGATTACTGCTGGATGTGCAAGGCACGGCTTGGGTTGTAAGCGTTGAATGCCCTTTCCACTTTGAGAAATACCGGATCAGGACCATTCTTTACTCAGCTCGGTGTTGGGGCAGGCTGCTACTTAGTGATTGCTGACATAGCTTGTCCCGTTCGAATTCTGTGTACACAGTGAACGTGGTATTCTTCCCAAACTGGAGGGATATACGGTTTATGAACTTGGTGAATAGTAATTCAGCTTCCCTGGTTCGGCTAGTCTGTACAAATTTTTGGGCCGCAGCGATCTCGTAGAACCGGGTTTGATACCCATTCTCCCCGAAGATATTGACCACTGCGTCCCTCAAGCACTTTATCACCAGCTCGGAAATGTAGAGAGGGTCTTCGTTGGGGAGGGGAAACGCAAGCAAGACTCACATAGGGTGGCTGGGTCCCAACACGACTTGCACGACTTGCACAACCTCGGCTACGTGGGCTCTGACTTTGTTCTGCAAAGCCACCTGCGCCTAGGCATGTTCATGCCTAAGCATAGTTCGACCAGGCACAGGAAGAGACCAGGGTGTGTATTGACCAAAATACTGCGGGATTGTATCCAAGGTGTCATTCAATGCCCTAAAGGCCAGGTGTGTCTGTCCCCGTTCAAGCAGGTCTGACACTATCAGGAACGAGTCTCTCAGCAGGTTAACCCATCGGTCAATGTCGAAGATGTAAGGATAGTTTTGGATCTGAGCATTCCACGAAGCGGAAACACTGCCTTGCGTCCAGTTGAAGGCCTGCTGAAGCACAATGTCGATTTTCCGTACTCGATCGGGAGGGTCAATTCTGCCTGGCAGCGGAGGACTTTGGGATATCCGCCATTGAAATTGGAACTTCCTGATGTTGTGTCTTATGTTCTCCTGTCCAAGATGCCTGCTGACTTGGGCTTCATCGTCTTCCTGGCTTGCTGTTGGACTGTCAGTTGAGCTGGTGCTTGACCTTGCTTCGCTCGCTTTCATGGTGGCAGAACTTGGGAAATCCCAGCCTACCAGACTTCTTGCGTAAAGAGCGCTTTGCTGAGCAGATGTCTTTCGATGTCGGCGTCTCCAGCTTAACTGCCATCGTGTTGCATGACCTATAATGACACCACGTGAGGTGCGACTTTCGTTATGCGGGAGGAAAAGTAACTCCTGTTCATGAGAAATATATTTAGCCTCTCCTCGGGATCTGATTTCTAGAACCGATTCTCCCAATTCTCGGTTTAGATCGTAATGTGATGGAGCCATTTATCAGGGAACTCGAAGCGGAGCGTTAATAGCTTCACCAGCATCGATTGCGATTGACAAGAAGGCTGGAGGCAGTTGTGTCTTGCTACTACTGAGGTGGCGCGAGGTGTGGTTTGAGAGATTGAAATTAAGAAAGTGCCATCAGAGCAGTAAGACCTAGGGGATGTTAGAGCTCAGCAGATAGGATCGATCCGAACATAGCCGTTCTAGCCCACAGCGAGAATCTGATCCGATTTAGATCTCCTCTCTCGTAAGTCCTGAAGTACGGGGAAGTTCATGAGCGAGCCCTGTGATATTTATTAGCTAAAGGGTACAGTCTGTCTCTGTTCACCTAAGCACAGCCGCTTCCGATTACAAAGTCGCTGCAATAATTTGGCAGCGATTGACCTTGAAGCTGGGTGCCAATTGCTTAATCTTATTTCTTGTGCGCATCTAAGGACAAGGCGCAACGACTCGACTTAACGGCCATATTCCCCCAGTAGCATTTATAGGCGAGGGCCAGACCCTGCAGGGACTGAGATCGAAAGACTTAAGGACATGCATGGTCTATCCTGCTAGCTAATAGCAAAGATTTAGTCGTTGGGTTGGATGACTAACAGACGAAAATGAAAGAGAGAAAAGAAATTAGTACTCGTACTAGCACCTCGACAGCAAACCTGCTCATGGTAGGGCGGCAATGACGGCAAAGAAGAGTGAAAGACACATGCACAAAAAAGGGAAGGAGTTGTCTGTCGACTTTGTTCGTGGCTGTAGAGACAAAATGCGCCTGTCTCTGCTCTCAGCTCCTCTGCGAAAGTGCATCGATTGATTTGGCCGGCTTTTCGCAACTCAGTCTTTCCAGTCGCCCATGTTCATGCGCAACAAGAGACATACACGGGAATTAGCTGTCTGCTAAGAGGCCACTTTGCTTGCTCTTGGCGTTAGCTGTTGCCACCAGTGCGATGACGAATATCCATTCGAACCCTTCGCTGAGAAACTCGCCAACGTGGAGATTTACTGTTGTTGGGTCCGGTGTTACTTCCCGGTCAGTCGATGTTAGCCACGTTCGTTTGGTATAAAAGGGGTGAACGGAAACTTACAGATACCCAGATTTTCACGCAAACCGTACCCAGTCGAACAGATGCCGCTGAGGAAGATGAAGAGGGATTCGACAATGCGAATTGCAGATAGATCCGGGTCTCGGTCTTCGTACGAGTGGTCCAGTTCCTTTTTGTTGATTTTCATGTGGAGAACGAACTGCGCGACGGCCATAATGCCCTTGATTGACACTAATAGCAGGTCCCACCCAGGCTCGAGATCGCCCGGGGGTATTTGAGTAGCGATACCGATCTCTAGTAGCTCCTTGGCGAACATCAGAACCCAACTTAGGTATCGTGATCCGGCAGCTGGCCCGGTGTTGTTTCTGGGAAATGCGAGCATGACTTTGGCCATAGACACGAATCTCTCGAACGCCATGAAAGGGCCCTCCTTCAGATAGTCGGCGTCTCTTGCGGCAAGAGTCGATCTCTTTTGTAGCGGCGTGGGGGTCAGGAACTTCACGAGCTCGGGATGCAGCTGCTTTGGCTTCTTTGCACTTCGTCTGTATGGAAAGTCGTCAAGGTCAATTGGGACGGAGTCAAACCCAAGTGGGATGTCAGTAATGTATTCGAAGAATTCGATCCCGACAAAGACGAACTCGAGAAACTTTGCCGTGGCATAGAGAGCATCGAGGACTGTTCCTGTATTGGCGATATCCGCTCGGGCGGATTCGGCGGCTTTGACGGCAAGACCATCTGTGACTTTCAGGTCGATGTCTGACGGAAGGATCTTTGACGAAATCTTGCCAGCCAAAGTGCTGGCCTGGAGATCTGGTAGAGTGAAAATGGTGTTCGCTATGGATTGGGTTATCTTTGGAGCTTTCTTCCCTATCAATATTTTGTGGACGATGGTTGCTGGGATGGCCAAAATCAGGGCGAATCCCGACAAGATCGTCAGGTCTCGGCCTTTCGAGATGAACTTCTTGTACAGCGCAGAGAAGATCGGAATATGTATGGGCAGGTTGATCAGGTCCATTAGTCCGTTGAAAGTGCCACTGTCGGCCAACTTCGCTGCGAAGGTCCTCAGGGCACCCAAGATAGCGTTGAAGATTGCTTCGCCAAAATTTTTGATCAGTTCACCTACACCCATGGAGTTTCCGTTCTCGAACATGTCCATGAAAGCATCACCTATTGAACTCAAGACGTCTTTGACCTGCTCAAATGCATCGGTGACTTCTGGCAATCCCTCGGCGAGGAACGAGGGACCTTTAGCCCGGGATACGACCCGTGAAGATCCTAGCAAGGACATGTTGCTACTTCCTCCATGTGCAAACTGTGCTTAATCAGAGAAATGCGCTAGAAAATGTCGAACTTTCTCACCTGATATTGCATATTATTCGCTGCACTTGAATTCTGGACCTCTTGACTCTTCGGGTCCTGAGCAATTTCGGGATCGGGACTTGCCTGTGCTTGAGAGAACTCGTTGGGAAGGTCCGCCTCGTAAGTGACAGCTGGGCTACCAAGGGTCGAATGCATTTGTTGTTGAACCTCTGGCGCGAATTTCAAGCCAGTGTTTATCAAGGTGATGACGGAGTCGTGGGTTTCCAGAATGTCCCCCCAGTTGAATATGAAGCCCAACCAGTCAACCAATTTATCAATGAGACCAAGCACCTTGTCTATGACGAACGAGATGCCCTTGGCTATCGCTTCAATGCTGTGTAAAGCGAACCTGTAAATCCTGTTCCCAAGCCAGACCAGGAGCTTGAGGCCTTCTTCACCTATCTCCATCCACCAATCTTTGAAGTCGTTGAATTTATCCTTCACGGAATTCCATAAATCCTGTGCTAGTTAGCATGATGATTTCAGCATAGGTGTTCAAATGACGTACCCAGCCGGCGTCGACAATATCACCTCCGAAATCTCCCAAAACCTCTTTAGCATTCAGGCCTCCCGAGCCGTCAGCGCTCCACGGGGCCAGGTTGCTCCCTCCCATGATTCGGCCAAGGTCCGCTGGCAAGTGGAGTCGGCCCGGCTTGAAGGCCTTGGGATCGTCGAGTCCCATCTTGACCCTACGTCGAGTGGCCACATTTCCTCGTTCCCTGCACATTGCGTCGATTGCCGCCGCGGCATGGTCAAGTTTCTTGTTATCGATCTTTTTCCCGTCCAAAAGTTTACCGCCTGACTGGAGCGTCGCGTTTTTCAGATCGTCTCCTCTCTGTATATTGCTCAATCTTGCATGGACTTTGTTCGTTGGGTCGATTTCAAACTCATGGGCCAGTGTAGTTTTGCCTTTAGGATTTCCGAGCCTGAACGTTGAGCTGGAGATGTCGGCCGTGGGGATAACGAGCGTCACCGTACCAGTCATATCGGTTATGACCGAAGTACCACTTTCCCAAACTCTCGTTGTCCGTCCGTTGACAATCAATTCTGTGGCGGTAGAGCTCATGAGACTAAGAGTTGTACGCGGAAGAGGTTTCCCATTCGCTGACAGGACTTGGACTCGCGTCATGTAGCCGTTGAACTCCAGCACCTCGTCAAGAGCCGGAATGTTGAACGGCGTGACCTTCCAGGTTGACTCGGAGAGCCCTCCACTCGAACTTGTGTCTGGATGCTGTGATAAAAGAGTGAAGTGCCCGAATTCGTTTGCGACGAGAAGTTGTTGAAGGAACTGTCCCGGAAATGATGGTCTAGGAAGATAGAAGGGCGCAAATAATCCTCCCGTTTCGAGCACAGGGACGACTTGAAGTGGCTTTGCAAAAGTGCTGTTGGTGGCGTTGGCATAACTCACTCGCGTACCAGCACTTGTAACCCAAAGAGAGAAAAAATCGCCAATTTGCGTAGTATGCAGCTGGTTGATGTCCGATAGTGGCGAGTCTAGAGGTACAAGTGTGCCCTCATGACGCCTGTGCAGAGCATCTTCAGGTTTCCAGTAAGTCAGATCTCCAGCTCCCCCGACCAGTAAGATACTGTGACCATCTTTATCTATCAATGTGGAAAGACATGTAGCAGCTGTGAGGCTTAGCAAGATTATTTTTTAATTGGAAGGAGAGCGGAAAGTCACATACATTGTGGGGCTTTCAGTGAAACGCGAAACTTGTATGGCCGGTCTTCATCAGTTATGCTTGAGAAAATGAGTTGAATCTTGTCTGTTCCGGTCAGCGATTGAATCAACGTTGGGAACATTCTCAGAGACCTTGTAATATACAGAGCGAAATATCCAGATCCGACAAAGGGCAACACAGCAGGACGGAAATCAACCAAGCTTGAGGCGTTTTCAGGGAGTCTAGTTTCATGACTGAAATGATAACCATCGAGTTGGGCGTGACGTTGAACACGCGCAAGATCACTGGAACCATGAACGCTGTTGACGGGAATATGTGCAAATACAATGTCAGGGTAACCCGATCGACTGTCATTCGGCGTCTAGTTGCTTATTAGTGGTTGTTATTGGTATGGCCACGGCGGAGGGGTCTGGTGGAACGTTACCACGAAGATTCGTGAGATATTCGTCTTCATATTGCCTTTGAAGGGAATGATCAGGTCTTTCAGGCCGGAAGCATCGTTCAATATCTCCGCTCCAAAGGGCTTGAGCACCGTGAGCTCTGTGTGTTCGCCGACGTCATATGCAAAGCAGAGGTGGATTTGAGAAGTATATTTGTTGAACACACAATCAAAGGCCACCACTGGACTCTCCGATATCCCCACGGCGGCAGAAAGATCGACCAACATCCGTGAATTACTCTCATCCTCCTTGACTGCATAGAGAGTCCCGTTGCTGCCAATACTGACAATCACAGTGTAATGGGAGAAGTTTGAAGTGGTGGATAGCGTTATGATTAGCTGGGGCGCCGACCCTAGACTATGGTTCTTCTTATATAGTCCTCGGGGGCTATCATTTCATAGAGTTGACAATCAACCAAATTACCAACAGAAAGGACTTCCTTAGGTTGAGGGTGCGTATTGGGAAGAGGCTATACCCACCGCCGTACGAGTTGATGCCCATGGCTAGTGACCCTCGCCCCAGTTCAACAGGAGAACCCTTTTCGTCGCTGAACGCAACAAATCGCTTCGATGGGGGCACTGGCGTGGCAGCAATCTGTTGAGTCATCAACTCAGAGTCATAGACGACTTTCGCCATGTCTTCGACGTCTGCAGAGCAGAGATGAGGAGCGCTCAATAGAGTTTCGTAGCAAATGTGGTTGGATTGGGAGGTTAGTGTCGACTTCTTCGACCACAAGGGGTCTTATCAAATACTGTCTGAATTCCACAGCTTTTCATCCTTTGTTCCCTAGCCAAAGCCGAGTTAGCTTACACATGTCAGTAAATCTTTTAAAATAGAAAACGGTGCCATGATGTTGCACTCGGTTGGACAGGTCGCGCAGATTTCAATCTAGACTTTGGTGTGATTTGATTGCAAAGAAACATTGTCTGAATAGTCGGCGCGGCGACGTAGGCCAAGCTCAGACTACCATAACTTCACAAGCCATATTGTGAAGCTGAGGCCGAAGCTGACAGTGTCGTTTACAGAGTCAAGTCATGTGATGCACTAACGGTATTCCACGCTAGACAGCCAAGCGGAAAATACTGCGTGATGATGAAGCTGAAAAAATGTTCACTTCCAGGGTTCCCTCCTCTCTGTCAATAACAATCATGGTTTGCACCTAAGCCAAGGCCATATGTCATAATCAAGGTAACGCTCAAAGTGTCTTCCCCCGATAATTCTGCCGAAACGTGGTCAAGTTTCGAAAAATTCACAATCGAATCCGTACTCAAGTTGAAGCCAAGATGCTTGTGAAACGCCGTTTGTCAGAGCTACTTGGCTCACCAAGGCTTTAGTGCTCTACAAGCTGAAATGGATACGAAGCATGAACGTTGCAACAACGCTTGAGGTTGCTTCCGGAGATCCTATCCCACGCCCTTGCCCGCTCAGCAAGTCCGAATGGATTCCAAGTTGAGCAATAGCCTGAGAAGGAGATCTCTCGGGGCCAGGATTCGCGGCTTTGTTGTAAAGCTATACATACTCTGGACCGCGTTGGGAAGAGAGTGACGAAAACGAAAACATGAAAACCAGCCTTGCTTTGACTTAACTGTGGAAAATGTCCTTAGACACGGAATTATACAGCAGTGGCTTGTTTGAAGGATTGGTTACCTATGAGTGGCATGCCACCGGGGATACAATCATGAGAAACACCGTCAAATTCAAAACAACACATCCAGCTCTGCGTGCTGCTATCAAGACACAGTCACGGGTGATGCCTGATTTTGCATCTAAAATCAGCTCGAAAGAAGTCAGCGTCCAGGAGATCAACGACATTGTGGGAGACGACGATCAAGGAGATAGTGTTGCTTCCCTGATTAATTTACTCCCGAGCCAAGATGATCACGAAGTCGACACGACGAAGCTTGAACGAAAGGATCCCGAGGAGCTGAAGCTCATGCCTTCTGGTCCAGTAACGAGGCAGAATGCCTCGCTCGGTGTGTTCGACTGGGTTGATCAAATTGCCGACAGTGCGGAAACAGCTGTCGATAAAGCTTCGCGATCTAATGCGACCGTACTCAAGCTTGAAAGTGGCGTCGCAACAATGGTGAGGATGTGCAATATCACACGAAGAAATCTGTTGGCTGAGCTTTTCATAGGCGATGGCGCTTTCGCAAAGCTACCTAAACCAAAAGTTGTACGAGTTGTGGGCGTTGACAGAGAGCATGCACCGAGCTGAATGGGAGACCGCAAGTGGTTATCTCGACAGCGAGCTTCTGGCTCCCCGAATCGTCCTCGACCCCACCAGAGATCCGTTGTTGTGCTTCGCCTACTTCTACTTGCGATTTGGAAAAGGAATTTGCCGGCTGTAAGTCCTCAGACAGCAAGATGAGTTGCAACGACAGGACTAATCTTCCATGCATCAGGGACGGGAAGTAGATTGACCTCAGCGACTGGGTCGTTGTGTTTCAAGCCTCGCTCCAATTGACCAAAGGGTCCGGAGGCCCCAGAGATTTCGCAAACCACATACCAGGGAATCTCGGACAATATGAAGTCAGTCGATTTGGGGTCTCAATCACTTGTAAGGATTTCTTAGAATACCCCTTCTGTCGCTCTAGTTGACGAAAGCAGCCCAAGACCTCCAAAATCCCATCCAAGACCACTCCGACTTCAAGGGGTTCGAGTTTCAAGGATCGCAAGCGACTGATTTTGCGAAGCTTCTCGACGGATGGATTCGAGGGGCGGAGAGCAACGGAGCCCTGACATTTGGCTACTCTCTAACCACGGGAAAGGCAGCAGAGATGAACCCTCAAGCGCCTACTTTCCTGCCCGCTAGGGAGAAATTGCAAGTCTACCCCTACAAGAGTCCATTCAGCCACAACATATCCATCGGATTGTCTGAGGATGGTGAGAAAAATATGCTCATTATATTGAACACTGGGAGTCTTCAGGGCGTCCCAGAGAAAGAGGTGCTACCTTACAGTGGAAACTGGTGCATCAAGAACATCCCCGCAACCCTAGCTGTGAGCAAAGACGTCTTTTTTAATAGCTTCCTCGTTCGCCCGTGGCCCACTTCGCTGGGTTCGCAAGTTCCGCTACTCGTCCGAATTAACCAGGCGGCATATTTCGAAGCCAAAATGGCGCACGCGGAAAAACACCCCTTCAATTCAGAGTTCTCGTTCCGGTACGGCAAGGCAGACTTAGCTCCAGGCATTTACGATTTTAGAGAGGTCTCAGACACCCAGACGGGGGATGTTAGCTGGGCCTGGAGCAGAAACAGTAGCAAAAGCCATCAGGATGGAGGCAGTGCGTTTCACGCTCGTGCCGAAATATCTAGTAAGTAAGCCCTGGCCCCTAAGGTGGAAGACATCTTCTTTGACGATTTCACAGCCGCTTCAAGCACCACTGTGACCGCGCAGCCCGCAGGAAACAAGGTTAAGATTGACGGTACGACAACATTGACCTTCAAGACCTCCATTGTGGATTTTGGGATCAGTCAGAATGGATCGTAAGCCATACTGCTCAAGAGCGTTCGGATGACCTGTTTTTTAACCGATGCTCCCAGTGCGAAAATCATTGTCAAATACTCGTTCGAGCTCTCACTGCGTTCCATTCTTGAAGGAGGTCTCTTTATGGACATGCCTCTCTCCTGCAACAACGTCTCTTTGGACGTCAAGATCGACAAAACGTTTCTCCAGCCAAGGTCCAGCATAGAGAACCTTGCCAATGACGTCGTCTCAAAGTTCAGGGGCGATACTGACCTTCAGACGACTGCGGACGCATTGAAGGACGTCCTGCAGACGACTGGCGGTTTTGTTGTGCCCGGAGGAGGGACCTTTTTCTACAAGGATCCGATTTTCAACAAGAACCGGGACCTCCTGATTAGTGCAGAGTATGACGGGTAAGCTGAACCTCAGGTGTGGATCGTTGGAGACTTCTGATTCTAACCGTCCTTTAGAGTCGCTTGAGCAGATTGAGAAACTGTTACCGGGCCTAAGGAGATGGAGCGTTAGCGAGAAAGTCGCAGTTAGAATGTCCGGAGGACAATGAGCAAAAATTGTATGCAGATTTATCTTCAATATTTGGGTTGACGTTTTGCCCATGATTTCGGGCTGACTCATAGAGATATAAGTTCTTTCAGAAAGTCTGCTCATACTCTTTCCACAGCTGGACCAAATTCTGGCACCCAGTCTTGCCGAAAAGTGATCCTGCCAATGCCTTTCTGTAGAATAAGTATACAGCGGATGATAGACCAAGTAATATAGAAATCATAGAAACGATTGAAAGTGGGAGGGCTCCACCGGAAAACACGGGTTCCGCCACCAAAAAGTGCACCTAGATTAGAAACCCAGATAGGGAGTCATCTTATTCCATACTCTAAACCTCCTCCAGCCAGACGCTGTCAAGATACCGCTACTGAACACAAGACCAAAGCTGAGTTACCTAAGACCTTCTCCACGAAAGACACTGCCGGCTTATGACATATTGGCACCATGCGATTCATCATGGTTACACTTTGCAATTTGAGGAATTCAAAAATGATCGTCAAACTCCCGGACACGGAATTCTCGAGAGGTGACTTTCCAGGACATCGAAATCGGTGCCGCCAGGCCTCGAGATGCACGGTTTGGTTCCCCGAAACCCAAATCATCAGACATGACAAGCGTCACACACTGGACTACAACCCAACCAACCGTACTTCTCTAACGCTCTTCCTACAACTGCTCCACGCTCGTGGTTAATTTTCCAATGTATTGATCGGCTTAAGTTAAACTGGGTAGAGGCCTTGTCGAAGACATTCAGTCCAGGATACCTATGTCAACCTTGGGCCTCCCTTTATGGAAGCCGTGGCATCTTGGAAATAAATTCCTATCTCGCCGGGTGACTGGCGGACTTGAGAAGATTCGGATTTTCTAAGATTAATGGACCGTGTGATCTCCGGCCTTAAACTAACGACCCATAAACCACACACAGCGACCTAACCAGTGAGCTCCATTTCGATTAATGACGAGATATCTACAACCTCATTACCACAATGCAGAACCAGAACCTAGGTGGAACCATAATCCGACCGCCCAGCCATCCCGCTTGCCCGCAAAGCAATGGTAACTCAGATTGCGAAGCCACGAGCACATGCAGTGCTGGCTTCCGACCAAGCAGGTATCCAAGCAGTCAGCGGTGCTAACTAACCAACCAAACCACAAGTCTGTGGCCGCAGCAGCACAACCAACCATTCACCGGTTAGGTATCGCCCAATGCTACATTGCCCTGCACGGTCATGAATTGGAGCACCCATTGCTGCATGTCGCTGGAGATGAACTGAAAAGGGGGAGAGATGTCTTCGTTGGTGTCTCTTTGCTGATAGGTTAACAGGGACACATAGCCTCTTGCTGCTGTGACGCCGTGCCGGTTTGTAGGTTAGTTCTCTAGTTCATCTTTGCCCCACCTACAGCAACCGGCTTAAAGCACTTTCGAAAAACTTTTCAGGGTGGCAGAATTGACCTATGAAATCTTGTTGTACGCAGCACCAGGTATAGGGCTATACTCACATATTTCTCCACGCTTTCGATGTGGTGTTCCGTCGAGACTCCTGGTAGTTTGTACATCCACCTAAGATTCAGAGCTCTAGATATGGCCTAGTACAATAATGTACACCATTGTTCATGCTATCGGTTCAGGGGGGTCTTCAGGGGTTACTTTTGTCACCTAGGCCAAATGTCCATATAAACAGGAAACAGATCGCTGAAATGGCGGATAGACAGATAGCAAGCTACTGGACACAGTTCCATGATCCATTTGAGCACAGTTCTCCGTTTCACAGGTCGGTTCGTTTAGAGACAGGCATTGGCTTAGGGAGCTTATTGGCAAATCCACGTAAATTCTCAAGGAAGAGAGAAAGCGCCAAGCAGAATGTGATTTCGATAAGTCGGAAGAGAACATGAGACGAAAGTGAGGCATAGTCCACAGGCTCTGGGGACGTCTATAACGACGTCATTCCAGTATCTCTCTTCCGTCCGGTTGGGCACCTTTTTTCTTGGCATTTATTAGGCATGGCTATCTTAACTAGAACTTACTCCAATTTAGTTAAAGGGACCGTCTTTAGTGCCTATAACTAGGGGCTGATTTAGTTGAGAGAACCCCCCCCCCCAAGCAAGTAGCTAGTAGCGCTATATCCGACTCGATCTCTTTAATGAGAATACTCCTGCTGGGTGTACATAGCTTAGATCCTTCTATAGAACTACTTAGAGGGCGTAATTTTTGGTGTATTCATGGATGCTGTATCTCGATTTTGGGTGAGCTACCACATAATTGGGTGCCGAGAAAAAGGTGCCCAACGGACGGGAGCGAGATAAAGGAGACAAAAGGTCGAGGAATCACCGAAGGTACATCGAAGTGGAAAAGCGCAGTGCGGAGTTGCAACTCCGGAAAGTCCAAGCTGGAATGATGTTGAATTGTTACTTTGTGTCTCAGCTGAGCATTCCATTTCACGCAATACTTTGAAAGTTTATGCGTAGCCGAGCGACAACTGGTAGTCTTCTCGACCTTCAGAGTTCAATATATACTCGTTTGGAAAACACGAAGCCCCTAATGGATCGATGTTCAGGAAGGTTAACCACGACAGGTAGGTCTCTAGATAGGGTACACCCTCGCTCATTCTACGGTGTTGACGGCACCAGTTTGCCGCCACAAAACTGCCCCAGTGGATGTTTTGAATACTCCACTGTTCCTACCTGAACCTTTTTCTCCCCCTTCCTACTTACACCGATCCAGAAGAGTTATCACGCCTCCAAACTGCAGCCGGCTGAAGCCAACTACAGCCTTTCGCTGCGTTCACGATTTCGACCCGGGTGATACTTGTCTGTCCAATTATACTGTAGTGGCTCACTTCGCCCAGTTCCCACGAAAGCAACCCCCCCACCCCCAAACTCTCCCGCGAGGAAACGGGGGTTCCTCGAGTGCGGTGACCTAGAAGCAAATAGGGTGGAGGAAGAGAAAGTTAATGAGAAATATCCCAGCAGCCCCTGGACGACCGTCCCGGTATCGTACGTACAGCTGTAGAGCGGCGGGAAGGGCTGATAAGGGAGCCGTAGCAAATTTTACTGATGAATGTAGACTTCGAGAACGGCGGCGTTCGTCAGCTATGTTCTTTCAATGAGGCTTCCATTGTACTTCTTCGAAGATGCTGTTGAGAAAGAGAGACTGTCGAATGCGATATTATCTTCTGAACCGGCTGTCGATGCTGTCAGTTACTCATTGAATACCCATTTGCAGTTGTCTAGACAAAGTTTTTTGAATCCAAATATGATTATCCGTCTGTTTTACCAATCTATTCACAACTGAGTCTCGGCGCCCCCCAGATTTCCCTCCTCCGATATATCGCCCGTAACGAACAATAAAGAGCTTCGAAACACCCTTCCCTAAACTTCCTCGATCAAATTCCTAGTACTCGTTGGCATTTTCGGTCCCTTCGTCAAATAACTGGTCGCTTCTAAGCACCCCTACTCCATTCGATTGTCCACAGAAATTATGGGCTTGATGAAGGTTCTCCCCTAGCATATTTGCATGTCAGCCAGCGACAGAGGAGCTTTCATACTCTTGACCTATTGAAACCCAAACCCCGGGCAAACGAAAGTTGGACCCAGTCCCAGGACACCAACAAAGATCGGCCTCCGTTGATTCCCCGCTTCGGGACTCTCGCTAACCAGTACAGAAATACTGCGGCAAAAGCATTAAAAATAATGTATGCCCACAGAATCCCAAAGTTTCGCCATCTCTCGTCATAAAAGGAGGAAACAGATGCCAGATATACGTTGGTGTTCGCAATGGTACAGAATTCGCAGTTTTCGGTGGCCTGAGGATTGTAGAGAGCGCCACCCGCCACTTGAATATAGGGGGCCATGTACTGAGCGCAAGTCTCTCCAGGAAAGGGCTGGAGTTTGGCAGTCTCGAGTGGTGAACAGTGGACCTCAGAATTAGCTAGACCAGTTGAGAGAAAAGCACTGATGAGATAAGTGAAAGGCGAAATCCTGTACATGAAGATCCAGAAGCCTGGGAGCGCGGCAGGCGGAGCCATGACTCTGTCGACATCAAGAGGATTAGCCGATCGACCTTCTTCTCAGGGGTCGTTCTCCCACAATAACTTACCCGCAGAATATAAGAGAGAAGGCGAAAACTACCAGAGAAAGGATGGCCCCTATCTCGGCTGTTGCCACTCCAGCGATGGCCATGAGAGCAAAGGTCGCTGTGAATAGTGTGAAACACAACGTCAAGAGGAACATGAGTCCTCCACGTTCTGCAACGGCGTGGGACGCTTCAGCGTTCTTGTCCATCCCAACGAGGTAGTAAAAAGGGAAGAATATCAGTGGAGCGGCCACAGTGTTCCACGTCAGCTCGACAACAAGGTTGGCGGACATGAAAATATACCAGGCATACGTTTTGGAGGGCCGTTCTCGAGCTTCGTATAGAGAGCGCTGGACGACAAAGTTTGGCATAGTCTGATATACGAGGAAGGCGAAAATGACTATCAGCATGAAGATGGCAAACATTTGGTCCTGAAGTCCTTGCATCGAGTTTTCTGCACTATAGAATGAAGCGCCGATGAAGATGCTCTGTCAACGGGTTTAGTTCAGTTTTTTTTCACACGAATACGGTTAAGTTGGCCTGCTTACCGTTGCGAGACATAACAATAACTTGGAATAGATGTACGTAGGTGTACGCCAGTATTGTTCGAAGACTCTTTTTGTGCAGTAGAAAAACTGTGTGCCGAAGGGAGCAGCATACTTCGCTGCCACCAGTGAGCTCCGGGTTTGATTCTTCATAGTAGAAACATGACTCTCTTCCAACTCCGAGAGGAATTGTCGCACTTGACCGTACTCGGGACTCCTTCGCCAAGTATCAGGCCAGT